AAAGGAAGGGGTGTTTGTGTGCATGTTTCCATTTTTAAGACTGTATATTACTTTGGTATGCAAAGGCTGAGCCTAAGAGTCAGTGATTTCATCGGATCACACATATGCTTCAAAGTGCATTGAGGGCTCCTCTGACTTTACATCTTCATATGGTATTTGGTTAGTTGTGGTGCATCGTTCACTGTGTCACTAAAGCCATAATCCGTGCCATGTATTCTCCGAACAGTTAGTAATGTCATGCAATTTTATACATTTGGCATTTGTCCTTGTCCAGTTTTTCTGTTTTTTGCAGTACTTTATTTTTAACCATACTATAGAGTGGAGATCTTGATTTGTGTTGCTATCACTAATGTGGTGCCATCACAGCAAAAGTTAGTAAATAAAGTACCACATTTTGATAATCTGTAACTTTAAAATGGTTCCATAATGGTTTACTAAACAAAGAACGTTAAATAATTTGAATATCTGAATAACAGAAAAGACTCTGTGACACTGTTCATTCCTGTTAGAATCTGTTAAGTCACTGAATATTTCCAAAATCCAGATACCAATATCAATCAATTCTTACTAGTCCCAATTTTAAAAGTAATGGTTTTCCATATTGTTAGCAGATATTGGTATCTGGTATCCACACTAGAGACATTTAAAAACAAACTGGACAGCCATGTGAGTGGGATGGTGTAAACTGGTGTCCTGAAACAGCAGGGGATTGGACCTGATGGCCTTCATGGCCCCTTCCAACTCTACTATGATCCCTTTCATGGGATAATTATATACTTTTCCCACTTTTTCTTTCTGTTTATATTGTGAGATTGACAAGCAATTACATTTTGGCCTGTTGTAAAAGTCTTTAATTACATTGTTAAAACAATTTATACTTCAGGGAACTCAACCTTAGGGAAAAAATGGAATGTGGGACTTAGAATGTAATGACTGCTTGGAAGCAAGTAATTATTCTAATTGTACAATAGCACCTTGCAAGCAGATTGAATGTTGTTCATGTGTCTCTGGATATTTAAATAGAGGGCACAGACCTATTAATGAAGCAATTTGGTCTTCTTTATATGTTAAGCAGACATTAAACATTAACTATCACCATCTAATCTCTAATCATTGTCATTTTGGACAATCACAGCACTGTTTTCTCTGGTCACAAGGAATCTGATTTTTCCTTGTATTTTATGTGATTAATAAATAATAATACAATGTTTGCTTCATTTTCTAATTATATTTGTTCCACTTTGAGATCTGGCCTTCTTTACTATTTTGATTGTGGTTTATTAATTTTTAAGCCTTCTTACAGTGTCTCTCTTTCTGACATTTCAGTACTGATACAGCATTGTATGCCTGCCCCCCCGCCCTCTCCCCCTCCCCCTCCCCCTCCCCCCACTTTTCTTTTCTTTCCTTTCCGTTCCATTGTAACATGCAATCACTTTGAGATCTTTCCCCTGTCTGTAAGTGAGGCAATTGTTTCAATGATTTGCCCAGAAATCAAACCACTTGAAGCCATATACATCATATTCATTAGGATTACTGGAGTGCGTTCATCAATGAAGAGCAGTCAGATGACTATTTCACTAACAACTGCCAGGCTAATAAAGAACAGATGGAAATTAGGTAGGAACAAGCAGGACTTGCAATAAATATCTCAGTGTGGTATGATCCTGTTGAAGGTTTGAATGGGGTAGTCATGTTTCTTTTGTATTACTCCATTTGTCCGGCTCCCTGGTTTTCCATTTCTTCCCACAGCCCTTCGTAAGTATTCTGTGTCCACTGCGCTTAGTCCTCAATTAAATGTTTTTGGGTTCCTTTGTAAAATGTTTGGTATTTCTGCAAAACTTAGATTTCTATAAGCATGTTGGTATTTATTGTATTGATCAGAATACTAAAACTGCATCTGTATTCATAGGTGTATTTCAGAGGGGATTAAATGAAAAATCCCAGTTATCATTATTATAACAATACAAATTGAACACAAACTCCATTAGATTTGTGAGGCAAGAAAGACAATTCAGTCAGCTAAACAAATGTAATGAATTTAAAATTCCTATGCTAATGAAATGTGGTGACCTGGCACAAAATAATACAATATTGGGTCCAGTCATACCTTCCTTCAGAAGGCATACCTTCCTCTTGTGTTTTAGCTCCATAGCTTGCTGGTAGTATATGGGAGACACAGAACCTCTCTAAGACTTTCTGTTGGATGAATCATAGCTGAGCAGTGTAATACATTCTTTACATGCAAAATGTCCCTGGTTAGTCCTTGCCATCTCTATATTCTGGTTTCTTTCCAGTGGTTTTTTGTTTTTGTTTTTTAATACTGTAAAGTGATGCTGCCAGTCAGAGAGCTTGGTTGACCAACCATCTGACTTATGCTCCTGACCTTCATGAATCGTATCAAAATGGTCATTTTTATTTCTATTTCTCTTTCTCCTCTAATATTTCAGCTGTTTCAATGAAGTGGCACTCTCAGAAATCAACGTGACATTTTGTGTTAAGATAAAATGTGCTCACAACTCTTAACAATCAGCCTCCCAAAGTGGACATGTGGAAAGGTGTACCGTCACCTCTCCATAACCGGAAGCCATCCAGCCTACTTCATTAAACTAGCCTTGGGCAATTTTAATCAGGAGATTAGTGAATCTGTTTATTCCAGGGAATGAAAGCAGCAATGGGTTTATTCTAGGAATTAGAAGAACAAGGGGTGGGGGAGTCACCATTTAAATAAGTCATAGGCATGCATTTGTGCTTTTGTTTCTTTTCAATAAAGCAGATGGTGAATACTGAAGAGGGAGACCTTGAAGAGCCCTTCTGCTGACTCTGCCCAATAACAATGCAGAGCCACTTCAGGGTACTTACACTGTGTATCATCAGTGTGCATACATAGAGAAAGTGCCTTGCAGGAAGGAATAAGCAGTCAAACAACATTTCTATCAGCCCTGTTTTGTGCTATTGTGCATAGTGCTACTTGGTTGTGGAAAAAGTCAATGGTGTTTTCAGCAAAGCTAATTTGCTTTCAGATTCCATGAACACCTCAGAATAAAAAAAACTCCACCTTGAATGTCTTATGAGAGGAAGAAGCAAATTCTACTTCAGCTACTATGTCAGATGATTGAATTCAAGTCTGCAAAATAAAAATAGAATTTGCACAATATAAAGTGGATATGGAAAACATTAATTAATAGCTTTTGCTTATACACATTGACGTTAGTCTGAAAAACTAAGACATAGTAACTTTCCTAAGGTAGCTTGAATACTTTTGGGTAGAGTGTCATCAGTATACCATTCTTTTTCTCCTTCTCATCTTCATTTTGTGAGGCTGCAGATGCACTAACTTGATAACTGATGATAGATGATGACTAATAAACTGAAATTCAGTCCAGAGAAGACCAAGATGCTTCTTGCCAGACAGAGGATGTTCAACCTGTCCTGAAAGGGGTTGCAATTCCTTTCAAGGAGCAGGTTTATAATTTGGGGTTCTCCAGGAATTTAGCATGTATTCCCTCTCTGCCTACTTATTCTTTTGTCAGTACGGTTGAGAATGTTATCTTTCAACTGACAATTATCAGTTCCTCAGACTTCATTCCTGGAAATATCTGTTCAGGTACAGGAATCATTCCTATATCCTTTGCAGTGAAGACAAATAATAAAAAAAACCATTCAGCTTCTCCACAATCTCCTTGTGCTCCTTTAGTGCTTTCTTCAAATCAGGTGATCTAATTCTCCTGTGTTGGCTCATAGGCTTCCAGCATTTGAATGGAAACAGCAGTACACGGTCTTCCTATACAGATACATGTGGTGTGTGCAACTTCTGTTTCAGCACTCAGGCCTCTTTCGCCATATACTCATGGCCTATTGCCTTCCCTTCTACATTTGGGCAACAAGAAACTTTTTATATCTTCATCCCCTGAGATGATTTAATGGAAACTCAGATGCTTCTCAGAATCTCTTAGCTTTGCCCCAGGGTTTAGAGTAAAAGGTGCCCTGGTACTTATTATGTGCCAGATATATGTTTCTATTTTGGGTCAAGTGGAGCCAGTCCTCTTATACAGGGATAGCTTGTACCAAAGTATATCCCAGTGCCTGACAAAGCTGAGCCAATCCTCCCTGCTCCCCGTTTTCACTCATGGATTGAGGTTCCTCAGCGTCACCTTTCTAGTGGTCCTGTATATGCAACATGTAGCAGGGAAATTCAGGGAAATCCAAGTCAGTGCTCTTGGATTCAACCTTCTATATTGCAACTTCAATTTGGCTCTAAGACCTCAACCTACATTTCCTCATGTCTCTGATACCAAATAGGTAACAAAGGATGACTTCACCCCAGCACTATTTGTAACACCATCTAGATGGCTCATTATATCCTCAACCATTGCATAAGACAGGCAATTTAGCGTACAGCCCACATGCTTATTATAAGCCCAGCTACATGCCTCCTGCCCTTCCCAGAGTCGCATCCTCAGTGGATCCTTCAAAACTGCTGATGAACATAGGGTAGGGTGATCCATGCAACATTTTGCATACATCAAACTGGGGCATCTGATAATTGTAACAATTTTTTTACACTTTCAAAGGGAAACCAAAGTGGCAAGAAGGCATCAAACTTAAACATGCTGCTTATCCAAAGATGAAGCTGCCTCCTTCCCCTCTGCATGATCTTTTATGAACATTAGATTTTACTACACAATGCCTAGGGGAAAGTTAACAGAGATATGAGCACAAATCTTCAGATTAATGCTTGGCATATGACACTACTGTCTAGATTGTAAAGATTTAGAGCTGTGACTAAGAAAAGTGACCCAAGAAACAATTGCTTATTAAATTAAGAAAGGCAAGCCATATGTTCTGAATATACATTTAAGATCCAGAAATCTCTGCTAGATACCCGCAAGGCAACAGCAAGAACTTAATGTGCCAGAAATTCATTTTACTTTTGCCTTGCAGGGTTTTTATAAAAGGCACTGATTTAAATGGAGTAACATAACAAGACAGAAGTAATTAAGACAGAAGTATTTATTCATCTCTTTTTTCCTTAGGTGGTTGTTCATTTGATGAACACTACAGTAACTGTGGTTATAGCGTGGCACTTGGGACCAATGGATTTACCTGGGAGCAGATTAATACCTGGGAGAAACCAACAATGGATCCAGCTGTTCCTACCGGTGAGTACAAAGCATGCTGGACAGGAAAGGCCTTAAATGATACTTTTTCTACCATGGTGAAAGTGTCCATTATCTAGATTACATTGACTTCTAGGGACATTAACAACTCATCTAGTCATGCCATGTCACAGAAGGGTATAGACTACCCTTTCTGACCTTAGTTTAATTCAGATGTACTGGACTTTAGCTAGTCAGCATGGCCAATGATGGAAGTTGTGAGTCTAATACATCTGGAAAGTGTTATGCTGGGGAATGACTCAGGAAGAAATGAGGACAGAACAATTTCTATTATATGCTAACCTGAATGTGTTCAGCTTTGGATATTATTCAGTAATATTTATTTTATTAATTTATTTTATTTAAAACATTTTATCATCTTGAATCTTCTTTTTCCCTTTAGCCTCTTTTATTTGAAAAGGTTACTGCCATAATTTACATGTACATGGTAGGCATGTCATGAGTGGAGCTGGCTGGTACTGGGGTCAGATTAGATGGCCCGGGAGGCCCCTTCTGACTCACTCTGTTTCTATAATAAAGCAATGCAGAGCAGTGCAGATGCCAAGTTTTTCGTATCTAATTTGGAAATGCAAAAAGTGAATCACATGCTCACCAACCATTAAATTTTAGAGAGCTTGATTCCCATCTTCCAGCACATTCATAAACTATTAAGTAAATTCTTAGGCACAATTCCAAATGCTATTTCTTAAATCCTAAATGATTTAAGGATTAAGCCAGGGTTAAGTCATACAGTATTTCTTGCATGGTTGCAGCTTCCCATATGAACCAGAGTAGTTGAGAGATCTTCTAGACAGCCCTTTTTGTAGCTGCACCCTTAACTGTGTCTGAGATACAGCTGAGAGTTCTGCAGGTTTTTTTAAGTGTTTCAATACTCAAAGCCAAGTTTTCAGTACCTGATCTCAAGTTTAGGAACTCTCTGACTCTTTCTATGTAGCTTAAAGAGCCATTCCTATCCAAGTTTAGATGGGAAATGGGCCAGGAGAAAATGAGACAGATGCAATTACGTTGCATGGATCTCCTGCCTTTCTTTCTCTTACAAGAAACCCATACTAGCTTACAAAGTTCTCTTCTCATTCATTTAACCTCACAACAACCACCTTAAGGTTAGGCTAAGAGGCCTTTTATTGGCCTGAAATCACTCACTGGGTTTCATGGCTGACTGGAGACAAGAACCCAGAACTCTGCAATCCTTGTCTAACACTCTTCATAACTATACCATACTGGCTATTTTTTCTATTTAAATTTGCATAGAATTCTACTCTATTTTTTCTTTTAACTGACTAGGATGGGAGTTAATTCATTTCAAACTTGATGGCTTGGTTGTAATCCCTTCTTTGTGTGATTCGCTAGATTTGTAATTTCTGAAACTTGTTTTGTTGTTTCTAAGGCTTAAATTAAATTCCCTGACTACTACAGTAGAAAGGTTGAGAAGATAAATAAATTGATGGTAAATAAATAAATGTTACAGTTCAACCAATTAAGTCATTAGAAAATGTGGTGCAGTTATTATAGCAATCAGTATTGCTCTGATTACTATTTCTAACAGTAACATCTTTTATATCCGGCGGAATAAAAGAAGCTTAAAGGTTGGTACAATTATCTCCATTACTTCCCAGAAAACACACTCATTTTCTCTGTTTCATGACTAGATCAGTAGGAACCCAATCATGGTTAGACAACAAATAAATAATCCAATAAGGATAATTGGCATTTATTTATTTAATTTTTATCTTGCATAATTTTTATCTTTCTGGACAGTTAACAAAAGTCAAACACATGAACAACAAAGATTAACATAAGGTAACAAAACCACAGCAAATGCAACTGAATCAGCATAGTGGCAGATTAACTAAATCAGGTAAAAGTTTCCCAGTACATTTTTTCTTCTAGGTAATACATAGTGCAATAGAAAAAGTAGTCACAGATATTTTCACATGTCTGAGCCCAATAAATGGACTTTGATCTAATGAAGATTCATGATGCCCTTCCAGTTATCAAAAAGCATACTTTGGAAACACCGCTTATGCACATATTCTATCACAGGTGTCCCTACCTAGAGTCTGAATTTGTAGGCATCCAGATTCATGTTTACTACCTCAATGAGAACCAGTCAACGTACATACATAGATATTGGAAATAGCATATGAATTTTCATTTGGGTTGATGCTGGCTGGTATGGAGAGAGATTTCAAATGCTTTGAGACATATTCATGACTGCTTTCCTTTGTCCTGGAGATTTACTGATGCTAGTTTTGCCATTTGGATGGCAGGACAGTTATGATTGTAATGCTTATGACTTTAAGTTCAGTGTCTGTTTAAAATCTGACTTTATCTGTAAACATTGTAAAATTATTTCATGAACTTTAGAAACTGAAAGGTACAACATGCTTTGTTTTTGAGTTGATTTTGTTGGGAGAAAGAGAAATGTAGACAGACTTGTCTCCCTAGTCCTAAATGTCTCTGCTGACACAACCACTCTCACTAACATAATGCTACTGTAGATACGGCTGCTGTAACATTACAGTTTGTAGCAGTGTCCCATGGTAATTTTTTGCATGGCAACAGTTTTACTATGCTGCTGGCTTCAAGAAGGCTGTCAAATCAGATTGTAAGACATACTAGAAGAGAAGTTTACCTTAGCTGGTTCACCTTTGTCAATTCTTAAGTGAGATTTCATGGTGATGTCTCATAGATATTTATGTTCTGACTTATATCTTACACTCTTTTGTCTTCTGGAAAGCACTATACAAATTAATGATGCTATATAAAGACTAAAATATAATAACCTCTGTCACTGATGGTACACTTAGTTGAGCTCATACTTATTGTGCATATCTGCATTTGTTTTTACATTCCTTTAAATCTCTCTCTTGCATGTTTGCTTTTTTAAATAAAAGCAGCTCTCACATTTAGTGCATGTGTACTGGTGCGTGCACACACACACACACACACACATACACTCATGCATATTTTAAGGTTGTGTTTATATCCAATACCATCGTATCCAGCTTGTTTATGCCTGATTATTCCACACCTGATTAATTGCACAGAACTATGTGATTTGACTTGTTGAAGAGCTGTGGTATTTCAGTGCCATGAGTATTACATAATGTAATCTCACTTCCTGTGAATTACAGGGAAGGGTAGGCTGAGAACTAGAATTTAATACTGCCAGGTCAATGGTTAACTATCAATTAAAGGGAAAATTCCACCTACTTCTTTAAATGTCCAAATATTTTATACACAACACAAACATTTGTTACAGTCTTAATAAACACTGTTTCTGTCAATGTCAGAAATCGTGAGCTTCCTTACAGATAGAACGTGCTAAATTGGGTTAAGTATGTTCTATCAGAATGTCTGCCATTTCCTCTAATCAGCCGCTTCGTTCCAGTCCTCACTGAAAATTCATGTTTAAAAAAGGCAGCTTATATTTTCTTGGCAGCTTATTTTCTAAGAATCTTCATGCATTAAATCAGACATAGATTTATGTTTCAGTTTCTCTAAAATGTCAATTCTGCAAAGCAATTTTGCTTTTAGGAGTGAAGTACCTTAGTAAAATGTAGGAATTGGCACTGTGTTTCAGTTTATACGGTAAGTTGTTAAATCTTATGCTTTTATGGTTTGGGCCAACTTAAAAAAAAAATAGTGATTCCATTTGTCAAGTTCAGCCTACTCCAAACTAGAGCTTTCCAGATGCTTTCAACTTCAACTTCCATCAATTCCAGCCAAGGTATGTTGTGAGGTATAGTCCCAAATCCCTGGAGAGCACCAGTTTGGGGAAGGGTGGTCTTTTTTTAGAAACCTAAGAAGTTGCAGATGTTGTGCAATAGAAATCCTGTACTAGAAGTAGAGTCTACGGGCCAATTAAAACCTGTGGGGTGTTCCCTTTACAATAGTAGAAAGTGTCTCAACAGGAAAAAACTGTACACACAGCAACACTTTACCATACTCTGCAGTAAGAAAACTAGCTTTTGTCACAACAGCACTGAAAAGCTTGTGTTTCTGATCAGGTGCTACTTTAGCAATTTTTTTTTTTAACTGAAAGAGGCTTGGAAAAGAAACTGCTTGAAAAGCAGACTTGGAAAGGATGGGCCTTGAAAAGAAACTGCTGAGTGATTCAGTCCTACATACTTCTGAGGCTTGACCTGCATTGGCTTCCTCTCTTAGCTGTGCATAGACATGCTGTTTGTGCTTACTTCTGAGCAGATATGTATAGGGCCCGATCTGTGTATATGCCACCTGATACTGAGGGTAGTTTGTATCAACAGCATTTTTAAATTTCTTAAAGTGAAGCTTTTTGGATTCCCATTCTTACTGGTAATTACAGTTATTCCTGCTGTTTTTCCTTTCCTTTATCATCTAAACTTATCAGTTTCTACCTGTGGCCTAACATTGTTACTCACCTCAGAACTCCCTTGGTTCCAGTCCCTTGGCTAGTCCCCTGCTCTGCCCATTCCATGGTACTTCTTTTCTTTCATATTTGACAAATGTCATTTCCTTGATTTTCACCTTTCTCAAATCTAAATCCTTATTTCTATACCATTTCTAATTGAGAGAATGTACGGCTCTTCAGATGGAATTGAGCCACAACATCCATCATCCCTCACTGTGAAGGTCTGATGGGAGTTGAAGGCCAATGACATCCAAATGATGACACATCCGCTAGTCCCGTGTTAGGCTTACTTCAACTCCTGCACTGGTCCATGTGCAAGAGACCTCAAATAGCAACTAACCCCCTTTTCTCTTCTGTAATGAAAGTATGTGTTCATGCTTTAAGAACAAATTATGTAAAAATAAATAAATAAATGTATGTATCTGGGCCTTAACAAGTGTTTCTTCCAATATTCCAATACAGAAGTAGCTATTTCCCATTCCTAAAAAGATAGAGAATAAACCCAGTTCTGATTAAAAAGCCTCCTTTGACCTGTGCTGGTCATTACATGTCTATTTGTGCTTGCTTCAAGGTTGTGCAGCATCTG